AGCTCAAGATTTAGGAGTTCAGGCTTTTCGCGGGGGGGGGGGGGTCTTGTGGTTGGGGCTCAGATTGTCAGGCTGAGGGTTCAGCGGTTTGACCGTAGGGTGTATAGGGTTCGCAGTTTGGAGTTGGTGTGTTTGTTTGTGGGGCCTGACTCGTTAGCCTATTACTTGGTGCGGGTGCCTGACGCATTGGCCTGGTGAGCTCGGCAGTGCGTGATCAGTTGACCTGGTACGTTTGGGTGCGTTTGTGGGAGGCTGATGCATTGCCCTTGTGCATGTTTGGTGGGCCCTGATACGTCGGCCTGGTGGATTTGTGGGAGCCTGATGCGTTTGTTCGGGGTTGGCCTTTTGGGTGTGCAAGCGGGGCTGATGTGTTGGCCTGGCAGGTTTTTTTTTGGAGGGGAGGGCGCGGGGGCAGGGTTTGAGACCGCCACACGCGCAGCCATTCTGCAAGCACACCCCAAAACTTAAAACCTGGAGACCTCCCCTGAAGGTGTGTGCACTTCGGTGCAATCACCAACTATTGTAGCAATGAGTCGTTTTTTGCTCGAAAATCTCGAAACGCAGGATATTGTAGAAAGCCTACCATTCATCTGCTTGTCCTGGAACCAGGCGGTCTAGAGCGGGAAAATCGTGTTACAATTTCCGGGGTCCCACCCCACCTATACGACCCCTAAACCCTGAACTCTTACATCGTATATGGTGGTAAGGATAAAGTTAGGATTTAGGGTTTGTTGTCGGGTCTGCGCTTGGGGATGGTCCCCAGGATGAAATCTACACCTTAAAGTGTTTCTTTCGCCTGAAGCCGCCCATTCACGAATAGAGCATAGAGCCTCAAATCTCCATTTTGATGATTGACCCCCAAAGGACATTTCGCTCTTTGGATTCTGAAATTGAGCAGCGCAGGACGTGCCCCTGTATGCACAGCGCTTCACGGGTGGAAACGGCCTCATCACTCTGAACCTGGGCCTGTGAAAGTTTCACTCCAAAAGAAGAAGGACCCATGACAACCGTGCACAGCTCTGCTGAGGAACCCCAAGCGGGAAGCCACCAGCGGCCTGGCCTGCGTGGGCCATCCCTGCTACCAGCCCGGCGAGATCCCATGCTTGAAGCCCTTTCTGGAGGCGGGGGTTTGGGGAGAAGTTTCACAAGTCGGGGGCCCCGAGCTGGAGGCCGCGTGCAAGAGCGGCAAGGCACCCGGCGATTGCTTCTTCTCGGTGCCCTCGCCTGGGACCTTGGCCCTCTTCTGCAGAGACTGCCCCTAACCGCATTCTTCAACGTCCTCTCTTTTCTTTGTCGGATCAAAAGAGGCGGGGGGATTTTGGGACCAAGAGGGCCTGGCCTCTCTGGGCCAGGCTTCTTCCACCGCCACGGCGCCTACGTGGCGGCGCTGGGCGAGGCCCTGAGAGGCGAGTACGCGGAGATCGCGGGGCACGGCCTCCTCCTGCAGGCCTGGCTCTGTCCGAGCGAAGCAAAGGTGGGCGGGGCTTCCACGTTTTCGCGTGGCAGGTGGATTGTCCTGATCTGGCCATGGGTCGCCACACCAGGCGCTTCCCATTTCGGCGTCTTCCCCGAAGCTTTCGGGCTCCCCTTTGTTTTGAACACCCAAGGGGCGGCTCCTGAAGCGAAGCCTTCCCGAGGTGGTCCCAGCTGACGGACGCGGAGTTCCTGGAGCTCGCCAAAAGCAACGTGGAGGCCCTGAACCGGGCCTTGGAGGCCTGGCAAAAGGGACGGCGCCTCCTTCGTTGTCCGATACTTGTCTGTGTCTGTGTCTGTGTGTGGGGCTGTTGGGGGATCCACTTGTGATCCAGTCATGCTTTAGCATACATGCAGCACGCTCTCCAGTCATGCTTTCGATTTTAGCATGCGCGCAGTATGCTCTCCTAATGAACCCACTTGTGAACAGCAATGATTCAGCATAGGTGCAGTATGCTCTCCTAGATATCACACTCGTCGGCATCGGAGGGGCCGCGGCTTTGCCTGCGATCCTCCATGCTGACCTTCACGAACGGGCCGTGAAGTGCGAAGAGACACCCTAAATGTGAAGAGATGAAGCCTCCCAAACCACATGTTAGCTTCGGCTATATCGAGGGTCATACCAAGTATATATATATATATGTGTGTGTGTGTGTGGGTGGGTGGGGGGGATTGGGATGTTGGGGGATTCTCGGCTGTTAGTCAGCGCTCCTTCCTGAAGGATGTGCCTGCCGAGCAGATTCGCATCCACGTGTGCTGGGGCAACTATGCCGGGCCGCACCACAAGGACCTGACCACCCTGCAGCCCAAGATCAGGGAAATCGTCCCGACACATTCCCGGTATAGGGTTTCAGGTGTTTCAGGTTTCGGGCTTGGGGCCGCAGATCTGGAGCCGGGATTTTTCTCTGGAAGCCAACCACAGCCGTAGTTGATCTCTCCAACTTCTTGGGGCGGCTGACTCTCTGGGACTACCCTCCTCCAATCTCGGTGTGCCCCTCCGCAGTAGGCGCTTGGTTCGTGACATCTTCGGATAGGGGAAGGGTCGAAGGACATGCCGGCTGAGCTGTTGTGGCCCCTTATCGGAGAGATCAAAGCAACGCGCCTCGGTGCGTGAAGTCTGGAGGGCTTCATCCCGGGCCATGGTTCGGCACCCTGAGCCCGTGTATTAGGTTCAGGTTTGAGGCTTGGGTGGTCCTCCCAACCCCGCCGACAAGCCCAGGTACATCCTGGTGGAAGGCGCCAACCCGCGGCACCGCATTGATGTGGCCGCCTTCGAGGAGCGTGGCGTAGAGGCGGCCAGGTTTCAACCTCTGAGGGGGGCTGAACGGCCTTCAACTGCACCCAGAACCCGGCTTCCAGTTCGAGGGGCCTTTGCACTTGGGTCCATCTAGAGGATAGCCGCGGCACATGTCGTGCGTTGATGCGGGCACAAGCCTTGACCACCCCGCCGCGAGGACGCAGTCCGGAAGGGCTACTTCAAGCAGCACCAGGTGCGGCTTTTTCCCAAAGCAATCTCCACATCCTCACAACCTGCAGTCAGACCCCAAATGCTTATCCCACTGCCGGACTCCTGAAACCCCGTCCGAGCTTTGAAAGATGTCAGGTCATTGCCCCTGGCCTTGTGGACTCCACCACGGCTCGGGTGGAGGACCCGAAGCTCATCGCTGAGAGCTTGCTACGATATGTTCGTGCCTGGGCGTTTGGCTTCATGGGTGTGGTTTTTGGGGTTTCGAATTCGGGGCTCCTGAGGCGTTGGCATGCGCGGTAGGTGCTTTGGCCCAGGAGGTGGATCTTAACTGCTCCCCGAGTTGCACCCTGCTTGCAGAGGTGCAGTGGGCCACCCGAGCCGCGTGCTGGCCAGCACCGATTGCGGCTTTGCCTCCACCGCCAAATCCACGGCCATTTCGGCAGACATCGCGTGGATGAAGCTTCGGAGTCCCTTCGGTTGAGGATTTGAGCAGCGGTTCAACCGCCAATCGCATTGTCACAGCTTCGCTCGGGCTGTTTAGGGCCTTTCAGGGTGTTGGCAGGGGTTTATAACAGTTTTTTGGGGTTGTAGGTGCAGGGCTTTGAGGAGGCTTGTTATTCCAGGTCTGGCCGAGGGGGCCGCCTTGGCCACCCGGCTCTTCATCGAACAGCGCGCTCCAGTGCCCTGCCGGTCGCCGAGCTTCGTGCCGACGCCCTTCCGCCCGGTCATTTTCGCCAAGAGCTCCGACAAGTATGCGCTGCAGCTGCAGGCCTTCCATAGATTTTGAATGCTCAGGTGGATGCCTTTAGCAGAAACGGTGGCATGCTCTGCAATGGCGCTTCTCTGAAAGGAGCTTGAAGCGCCATCCGCCTTATCACGTTTGCAGGAAGCATTTTGGAGTTGCACCCAGCAGAGAATCCTTGTGCTGAAAGTAGGTTCAATGCTGGTTAAGACCACATTTGCTTGCACTCCGTCGAGCCTGTCAACATCCGGAGCTTTCGCGGCTGGAGGCAGCCTTCTCTGGCCTCACCGTGCATCCGGCCAGCATCTTTGCCGAGGACGTGCTGAGACATCCAAGCCTGAGGCATGCTGTGAGGCCTACTCTGCCTATATCCCTACACAGAGCCCTGATGCCGTGTTTCAAAACCGTCACATCAACCAAGGCCCTCCCGCGACCCACCGCTCCTGGGCCCCGGGCCCCTGCAGGAAGCTTTCGAGGAGCTCCGCTGGGTGGTCGACGCGCCGCTGGCCTTTGTGGCACTGGGGCGCGAAGGCGAGGGGCCACGCAGAACGCGCAGCGGGGCCGCCCCCAAAGGGCCCGAAGGGCTTTTGAGTTTGCTTTGATGCGCAGGCCCTCCCCCGCATTTGTGGTGGTTTACATATGCGGTTTTTGAAATCTTGACTAATGGAGCCTTCACAGCCTTAACACACCCGCAATCCGTATAGCAAAATGGGCCGAAGTTTGCAATGTGCTGTCGCACTGTGGAGGTCTGCAGCTGGCCCAAGCCACCTTGGACCGCCTCAAGGCCGACCATGGCGCCGTTGCTCGGCGCCCGGCCACGCTCAGCGCCGCTCTGGAGGACGAGGCGCCTCGGGGCGGGGGCCAAGGGGGGCCCGAACTCAAGAGGACCACGTGGTCTATGGGCTTTTTCAGGCTTTGGCTGGGAAGTGAGTGTCACTCCAGGTCGTATTATCCTGGGCAATTACACGGCAGCTTCCCCGGAGCCCTTCTGAAGGGTCAACGTCTCATTTGGTCCCTTCCGAAGCCCGTTTAGGGGGGAGGCTTCGGCGTGGGTTAGACCGTTCACAACTCCGGGAAGACATGCTGAAACGCTTTATGCCCAGACTTGGGGTAGATCTCCACGGCACAGGCGACAGGGAGTTCTGGCTTCGCCTTCCCGCGAAGAGTCGGTTCACCCTGGCCCTAAACCGCAAGAAAAGATGAACCCCACACGAAAAAAGTGCCCCTAAACTCTGAAAGAAGAGGCACCTGTGGCGCTGGCGGAGAGGGTTCGTGGCCTGCAGCAGACGGGCTTCGACAAGCGCCGCCTGGCTCCGGTCTGGAATTAGAGCTCGGGGCTTTTTCTTTGCTCGGGGCTTTGTTGTGTTCTCTGGAAGTTAGGAAAGGCTTCCCGCACATCTGACCCTGCAACACCTCTGGAGCGAAATCCTCCACATTAGCCGACCTCAAGATGCGGGTAGGTTGTTCCTACGACTTGAAGACTTCTGCCCTAGAGCATCACGGCATAGAGGGGGGGGTGGCTGAGAGATGAAACGCTCAAGGGGACTGGTGAGAAGAAGTGTGCACTTGGCTTGCACCACCTCAGGTTCCGTTGGCAAGTGTATGCGGCCCCGCAAGACCTGGAATTGCCGGTTGGTTTCGTCCTTTTTCGGGTGAAGTGCGCATAAGAGAGCTCTGTCATTCTGTCATAGCCCTGTTGTCGAAAGTCACAACTTGAACGACCCTGCATGTGCACTGGTAGTGCTTTCCACATGAACTTATCCGCAAACTGTATCTGTAGTTTGAACCCTGTGCGGTAGTCCTTTGCCCAGGCAGGCAAAAACTCTCAGAGGCAGCGCTTGGGCGGCCTCGGCCGCCCAAGCGGCCCGCGCGCTAAGGTTCCTTGGTTCTGCCTCGCAGCAGCCAGCCGCCGGCCTCCGCGGATGTGGTGGTTGTTGGCGCAGGGTCTCCGGGCTTCGCTCAGGGTTCTTCCCGGCTCCTGTTGAGAGGGGTTCGTGCTTGTGGAGCTTCTCAAGTGCATTCTGAGAATTGTAGATTTTGGCAGTCTCATGGCTCAGGGTTGTGTCGACTAGCTTTGTGCGACAACTTTGCCCGGAGAAGAGGCAAGAATCAAGGAGTCCCAGATGAACCGCGCAGAAACCGAGACTTCCTGCTGGCCGACACCCTTTCGCCCTAGGCTTTTGGGCATGCTGACGGCGCACCGCTGCAGCGCTGCGGGCTTCAGCGTTGCGGTCCTGGAGCCTGGGGCATCCTAGGGCCAAAGTCACAGTCAGCAGCCCTTAGCCTCAGCGAGCAGCTACTTCTGAGCGCTTGCAGGAGCAGCGGACCCTCGTGGGCGGCATTTGGTCCATGTACGCAAACTCGACCTCCCAGGCCCACGATGGTTAGGCTTGCAGGGAGTACTTATGGGTCCCAGGAGTCTTGGGGTGTTGGATCTCGTTGGACCGGGATCCTCGAGCTGAGTGCTACCTTGGCCCTAAGTAAAGCCCTGAAAGCTTGAAAGCCCTGAAAGAGGTGAACAGCTCCGAGGGTGGCTACTGCATCAAGGAGCTCCTCGGTGAGGAGGATGGCAAGGCCTCCGCTTCGCCCCGCAAGTATTCGGTTTTCAAAGCACGAACCTACTAAACCATAAGCCCTAAACCACCTTTCGATTGTTTTTCTCCTACGGCGATCGCCCAACTCTACATAGTCCTTTCATGCTGGCCTTCTTTGAAGGCTTCCGTGCTTTTCGGCAGGCCCCTTGGGACAACCGGGACCACAGCACCGCCGCGGAGGCTGGGCATCTTGTAGCCTTGGAATTCGTGTTTTCGTGAAGGGTCGGGGCTTTGAGGCTTTCGCCCGGGAAGCGGAAGCTCCCGGAAGCGATGGCGGGTGCAGGTGCTGAAGGATTTCGCCAAGCTCGGCGACCGCTTGAAGGATCACATCTTCACTTCTGCGGCTCGGCATTTAGAGTTTAGAGGGCTGTAGGGGTTTAGGGCTGAAGTGGATTATCGGGGCCGAGTCGTGCCGATCATCTACATGGCATTTGCTCCTCTTGAGGCTCTCCGCCTTCTTCTGAGTGTGAGGTGCGCGTCGTCAAGATCTTGGGTGAGCACGGGAACTACACAGTGCTCTTTGAGGACGAGCCTTGGCAGCAGTCTTCAAGGTTACAGTACCAGCTTGAAGTAGAAAGGTCCGCTCGTTCTACAGGCTTGTCTCGGTACCTAAACTTGAGGTTGGCAAGGGTGCTGGAGCCTTCGTATATAGCTGAAGCCCGGAGGAGCCTAGGCCTAGGCCCGAGTCTGTGCGCCAAGGGATTCTCGAACAGCGCCGGCGTGCTCCAGTGCCGCGGAGTGGTTCTGTGCATCAACGACCGGGTGGGGGCAGTCAGCAGCAAGCGACAGTTCATGTTTCACGTAGCATGGTCTCCTAGACAGCCAACCTTTGAGCGGCATTGTTTATATGCTGTGGTAGAGGTGCCTCAGATCTAGACCCCAAAGCCCCGAAAGATTAAAACCTGAAGCGCCCTGAGACTCCAAAGCTTTATTATTTATTGCCCCAAATGTGCTCACGAGGTGGGCCTCCCACGCCCGTTGTCCGTGCCTCGAGAAGACTTTGCCGGCGTGGTGGCGGATGGGACATCTGATTCCCTAGCAGGCCTAACAGAAGCATCCAAGCCCTGAGTCCCAAACCCTCAAAGCCTAAACTGCCCCAAGCCCTAAAGTTGTGCCGGCCTGGTCCCTGTAGCCTCAGCAGCGGAGCAGTCAAGAGTCTCGACTCCCGCCATCAGCTCGGACGAAAACTGCTAGAATCATTGAATACAAAGAACTAGGCTCCGACTGCACAGCCCAAACCTGGAAAGTTACTATAACCGCAGCGCTATGCACGCGTGCTCAGTAGGCGGGAGATGTTACGATGCCTCTCAAGCCCAGCTGTGTGGGGAGGTATGGACTGGCGCGGCAAGCGCGTGATCATCGCCGGAATGGGAGCCTTTGCTGTGGAGAACGTGCGCACGGCTTTGGAGCAGGGCGCCGCAGAGGTGGGGGGATGCGGCTGGCATCTAGTAGGGTCTGCGAGGCCGTCTAATCACCCTCTTGTATACCCAGTTCTTCGGTGTAGATATCAGCATCTTGCGGTTACCTCTCCAGAATGAACCAACCATTGAAAGACTGGTTCGAAATTTCTGGACACTTGAAACAAGCGATTCAGAGGGCGCAGCGTAACCGAAAGCAGGCTGGGGTATAGGGACATCCCAAAGGTAGTCGTCGTGGGGCGGCGGCATGGCACCATCTGCCCCAAGGCTGGATCGGGCACGTTTCGGCATTGGGAGATGGGTGTTAGACTCCACTTCAGGCGATTGACTACCTGAACTTCGTGAAGCCTTGGGACGAGAAGTACAAGCACGACACCCAGACGAACGTGAAACAGTTCCTCCGGTGGAAGCAGCTCTATGAGCGGTCTGGTTGCACCGTGCCGGAGTGCTGGCCCAAGCAGGTGAAGCACGACGGCCACACCATCTCCGTGAGCGACATTTGGATTCCGGTCTGTCTTCGGAAACGCTGTGTTTTTATTTGCATTTACAGGGGGCTTTGAGTTTTTAACTAGGCGTTTATATAGGTTTGAAGGGTTTAGGGTTCAACGCAAGCCGAGTTCAGTCCCCGTTTGTGAGGTTTGTGGCCCACTTCATGAAGAAGCTCCGCACCTGCGCGGGAGAGATCCAGCGGCTGGTGAAGGAGCGCCCCAAACCTTAAAAGTCCTAAACCCTTATATAAACCTAAAACCGGTTTTTGCAAAACCCCGAGCCAGGGCACCTAAAGGCGCACAGACATCCTTCCTTGCAGAAGATGCGCTTCATCTACATGCAAGCCTGGGCTAATCCTCACTACTCCAACCTCCGGAATTTAGGGTTTAGGGTTGTGAAACACCCATTGTTTTGACTCTTCAGCCGAGGTTACCCGTAGAGGAACCACCCTAAACACATAGCTCTTTCAACTCTCCCGACGTACTGTGATTCCATGCTGTGCCCAAGTGCCTCGCGACCGACTCCAGTACAACTTTTTGACCCCTCGCAGGGCCCAATTGGGCTTAATCGGGCGAAAAGGGCAAAAAGCGCATTTCTCCCTTAATCTTACTCGCGACCTTTTCCCCGGGAGGATGGAGCGATCCTGTCGAGTGGCGACTTCCTCCCTTGCGACGTGGTGGTCGGCTGCATCGGCTTCGAGCGTTCGAGCTCCTGGGGCTTTGGGATTTTCCTAAACCCTAAACC